CATAGAATACAGTATCTACATGCGATACTGATCTCTCGAAGTTCTTTGCTTCTGAAATTTTAATCATTCTTGTATTATAAAGTAGCTGTGAAATAAATATACTTTTAGCTTTCATGCTTCATGATGTTGCAAATTTTAAAAACCAGTACTTTATCATTCCACGATTTTTTAAATGATCATTCTTTTCTCAATTTTTTGTATGCTTTGAGTTTTAGAATTGCATATATTTTTCTTGTTTTGTAAATTTTTTATTCTTAGTTATGGTACCAGTTTCAGACATTTAACTAAAAATCTGTGACATAATAACACACTTTAGATCCAATATAATGAATGATAGAACATTCATCAAACAAGCAGATTCCCATCTACTTGAACACCTACAGCATAATATACTATTTGTCTGTATACATATTTCATATACTTCAATCACATTATCTCTGACCCTAATTTCTTCACTATATCAGATCTAGCATGTACAAAATAATTTTAAAATGCTGAGAAGCATGAGATAGATATTTCATTCAGCTCATAGGCATCTTATTTTTTAACACTGAAAAGAATGAAAATTCTAATAAAAGTACATATCATATGAAAATTATTCATTGCTATTAAAATACTGCATAAAGTAGGAACTAATTTGCACATTTTCATATAATTTTGATGCATATTCTTATAGCATAATTTTTTGGATAATTTCAATGTACATATTTTTTTCTTCCATATCAGCTGCACTAAACATTGCATTAAAACCCCAAATTTCAAACACAGATCCCCCCCCCAAATCAGCTGCACTATGCATTGCATTAGAACCCTGTACTGAACTTACCATTTTTTAATTTAACCATTTTTTGATTGGCTTAAAAATTAAAGTTCAAGCTCTTTTATCTTTTTAATAATATATAAAATTATTTTGTATACAAATTTAAACCTGATACAAAGCCAAATGCTTTATTACTTCAAAAATTTAAATACTGGGTACTTTTCAAAGGAAATGCTGAAAACAAGATCTTTGTTATAAATTGTGAGATTTTTATGAATTCTTCATTTACCTTATCTTATATGGCTATCTGACAAAATTCGTTATAGAGTTACTTCTCTGTGTAGCAGAAATTTTTTCAAATTCCATATTGAGCCAAATATATAATCATCTTTGTCCTTTCAAAATGCTTTTCTAGAAACTGTATTGATTTTATAAGTGTAACGTAATACTCAATATAAGAGAATTATCACATATTTCTAAAATATTAAGGAATATATGTTTATTCACATTCTTCTCAAAATATGCTATTTAGTCAATGCTTTTCGTAGAATATACTCAATGGATCAATCCTACATATGGTAATTCATATTTGACTTCCTATATGTAGTAGCAAAAAAATCATACCAATGGTGTGGGAAGAATGCATATATGTTTTAGAAATTGTTATATATTATTAAAATTGCATTTAAATTTAACAAACATTCTCTATTCATAAAAGGCAAATTTTAAGTTAATTTAAATAAAACGCATCAGGTTGACATTATAATATTAATTATCACTTAGCAAGGAAATATGTTTTTCTTCTAAATTTGAATCATTAGATTATAGATGAGCTTTTGTTCGTTCAATATATTATTGGAAAATAAAAAGGTATTTTGTAAAAAGATTCAACACATTATTGGAAAATAAAAAGGTATACATAATATATGAGTATTGATGAGTAATAAGAATACATAGTTTATTGATTCCTACTAATGGAAAATGAAAATCGTTGTCATGGAATGTTAGTGACAATATTTATTATTTTATTATAAATCAAAGAAAATGTGGAACTTTTCTCAAAAAGTCAGAGAAATTAAAATAAAAAGTTTGTGTTTCATATGATAATGTATAAACACAAGTTGTCTTGAAAAGAAAGCAAAATAAAGAGTTGGTGTAGTTTTTATTTTTCTTGGCCTGTATTTTACTATACTCATGTCTGAAACAGTTGTATGAATACAGTGCTCTCTTCTGCATTTGCTAATCAACTGTTATTCATTCTTTTTAGATTAGAAAGGTAAATGCTCTGTCCTACTCTCTTTACACAGGTAAAAAATGCTATAAATTACTTCTTTTGTAACCTGTTCAGGACATGTGAAAGGAGAAAAAAGTGCTTCCCAAGGACTGCACGCTCCAAAAGTATACATACGTACAGGAGAGCAATTTTCCCCATTAAGCTCAATTTCATTTAAAATCGTTATTTTAATTACATATGCTGAAATTTACAGTTTATTATCCTTGATAGTATCTGATTATACTGTAATAAAATTTTCATGATGAAAAACAATTGCAAATTTTAAAGAAACCCTTCAGGGGGGATGAATACTAAAAAACTGAACAAATTACTTTGTAAAACTCTGATATGTCCAACAAATTTCATAAATATAACAAAATGAATAAAAGAATCGAAGTCATGTAGTTGTTTACATGTTCAAATTACCCTGACCCAACGAAAAATTTTTTTAAAAAGTATGAGAACCAAAAGTGTGTACTGAAGGTCAATGCTTTGTAGAGTGTGTTTGAAAATATAACAAACTATAACTGCCATCTAGTGTTGTTTAAAAACTTTAATTTGTAACAAAAAAGCAATTGGTCATGTGAAACTATGCTTTCTGATGAAAGGCTACAATTTTAACTTCATCCTTTCAATTTTTGTATTATAGTAAATCCACTCCTTTTTTTTAACTTCGCTTTTTAGATATGCCACCAATAAATGAAAAAAAAAATCTCTTAATTTGCTTCCTTTTTCATATTCTTTGAGCAGCAACTGGCACACAATTAATAGAGCTTAATTTTCATTTTTATTATATCTATTGCTTTCATGTTCCACAATAATGAGCAAGATAAATGTTTGTAACATTCCTAGTTATTTCATTGTGTTTTATAATAAATGCATAACGTATTCAGTTACTCATAAAAAATTGGTAATGAGCTTGTTATGCTCAGTAAAGGAAACTAAAAACTGAATTTCAGCAGAACTCTAGATTAAAAAAAAATTTGAATGAGAATTTATAAATACATGACTAGTACAAAAGCTTGTAAATGGAAAGATGATATGCTTTATGATAAATTATTCTCCATACTATGCATGGCGATGTCTCTGTTAATATATCAGTAGCACTAAGATTATAGAGCTTGGCTTTTGCCGATCATTGAAATATTTGTTGCGTTACGCGGACAACACACAATGGTACATGAGGGTTACTACTAAACAGCCTGTAGTAGCCCTAAAATATATATCTTTTGTGAAAGTCCTAAATGCTTTAAATTTCATGTCAGTGGAGGTAGATGTAAAGTAAAATGTATAAACTAGGACCACCCAAGTGTAGTGAATAATGCCTTCTGCAAGTTTCTACAAGCTGCCAGCCATACAGATCCCGCAATTCCTATTTTTAAATTTTGGGTATTTTGTTTTAAAAGCAAACTGTTTCAAGAAAAAAATAATTCATTCTATCACATTCAGCCGCTATAGAAATGATTAAGCCAAATAAAAATCTGATATGAAATGCTTTATACAACTATCTGTTTCCAGGCATTCTGTTCATATAAGTTCCGTTCAAAAATTATGGCTACAAATAAAGCAGCTTAATACAAATGCCTGGCAATATTTAAACATTTACCAAACTGATGCCAAACCATGAGAACATTATGCTTTGAGCAAAAAACAGGCTGACATATTGAGTGAAAATGCATATTTCAATATATACTACAAATCGGAAGTTTTTTGGTAATGTCTGAAAACCCAATTGTCAACTAGTAGATTGCAATGCCATATGCTACTACAGCAATTAATAATGTGATACAGATGCAAATTTAAGACTCCCTCTGTCTCATAATAATAGTAACAAGTGAATATGACTGTAAGTTACATTGTAGAGCAAAGCTGCGAAGCTTTCAATCAAAATCAATGTTTCATGACATCTGTCATTTATTCTGATATATCTTATTTTTAGATTAACCTAATTATTACAAAATAGAACTATTTTTCTAAATAAATTGTTTTAATTTCAGTTCAATATCAACCCATTGTAAAAGTACGATGAAAAAGAGATTTCAAGCATAGATTGAGTTGTGACTGTCCAGTTCTTGATGCATCAAAAGACAAAAAGGAAAGTTGGAGAAACGTGCAATTATATTAGCTGCAAAACAATATAAGTGTGACAGAATGACCTTTGGAAACATGTTTCCGAAAATAATTGTCATGGTAAATCTTATACTGATGTTGATTCTTTGAAAAAAATTAAAACTGTGGATGTAAATGCAAAGATTATGAAGAAACACTTGGAAAATATTCTTAGCAGAAGAGCTACAACCAAAGCAGTAAGTTACTTTGATAATATTTCTCCCGAAACACTGGATAATAAATTTCTGTCACTTCAAAAAGTTATTCTGGAAGCAATTAAGAAAACAATCTCTCCAATAATTTCTCACCAATATAGGGAAAGTAAAGCTTCACAGCCAAGGGTACATACAAGTTTAAAATGCAGTAACAAAATTATTGAAAAATCCAGAAACTATACACTCAAAATAAAAAAATAGGAGTAATATTTTTAATTCATGGTTTAACTTTACTATACTTTTTGTTATTTTATTTGTGTGAAATTTCAGGACATTCTCAAACATATCTGCTGTAATCTTAAAGATTACACATCACCAGTTATAAGTGGAAAGAAAAATAATTCTTGCACATAAAAATAACGAGTTCACAGATACTTACAATCATTCTAGCAATTAAATCTCATAGAACAATCAATTATATACAGCTTTTAATTTTGATTCTTCTTTTAAAATTTTTAGCAGAAATTAAAGAAAATATTTATTTAGATGAAGAAGTATATACATGCGTCTCTTTGCATAATCAAAAAATGTTTTGATTATCAGTTTTTATGATAAACAAACCATTTTATTTGTGCATTATTTTTCTTTGAATCACTAAATATATTTCGTAATTAAATTGCACATTTGAAAAACTATCACTGAATTTAAAATAAAATTACTAAATAGCAATTACTTTATTCAGTACAGGGTTCTTTTTAGTAAATTAGAATTTTCCTAATCAGAAGCAATTTTCAGACATAATAAAAATGCATATTTATATTACATTTGTCCCATTTCATTTCAAAAATGACCCTTCTATCAAGATAGCTTAATAAAAATATCAAAGCCAGTTTTTCCTTGGCAAAAGAGTTCATGAACACTTTGGAGGAATAAATGCACAAATATCTGTAGTGATACGAAATCACTTCATTCACGATGGATTCAATCCTTCCCATTCAATTAAATACTGCACACTTCCATCAGGAGCAGTCCGTTTGGCAAGAACAGAGAACTTCTCACCATTGGCTAATCGGTCTGCCATGCCAAAATAATTACTGACTGAAGAACTTAAGTCAGAAGTTGGAGCTGTTGAGGCAGCAGTTGATTTTTGTGACTCTGATGCAACTTTATTGACAGTTTGAGAGTCATTCAGTAGCCTACCAACATCAGATTCACATGACTTATTACCAGTGTATCTCTGTCGTGGATATACTGTCAAGGTAGATTTCCTTCGAGCATTACTCCTCAATTTACTATTCCTTAAATGAGTCTGAGGGCGGTTAGGCACTGCAGATGATTCTGAACTGCTCAAGCTGTAACTGCTCAGAAAAGGATTGTTCAATCCTTCAAAATTAGTGGGATGCGGAATAATGGAATTAAGAGTGCCCTGAGAAGATGAAGTGTCTTCATTGTCAGAGATTTCAATTATGGGTGGAGTAGTACGAGTAAACTTTCTTGCTCCATTTGGTCTCCTATATCGTGCAAGTCTGTGTGGTAACTTTCGTTTCTCCTATAGAAAGAGAAATATTTTATCAAATAATAATTAAATGAAAACATTTTATATCTTAAATTAACTTACTGTTATTTAATGAAATTTAACTTCCATTTTTGCATTTCATCCCATTTAACCCTATTAACCGTATATGTTTTGAAAAGGTTTTAGACCCACTTGGAAAATATTACATTTACATACCACTTATTATCTAAATTTGTAAAATTATTTACTTTATACTATTTGTCACATCATTAGAACAATTTCTAAATGTCTTAAGAAATATTATAGCAAAATATGTTAAAGAGCACAGCAATATACTCAAAGTTGCAACAAATCTTATGACCAAACAAAAGCAGACATGCTCCCAGTTTATTAAACTATCATATCATTTTTAATAGATACTCTGATTGTTTAATAATTATAGCAAAAAATGGTTAGCCTTTTCTTTTCAAAAAATATAAAATAATGTTAATTACACTAATTCTGAATTATTAAAATCTGTCACAAATTTGATAAATAACCACAAAATGAAAGAAACATTTACATATAAAGAAGAGGTAAGTAGCTTATCAAACCATCTTTAGAATTTCCTTTGAATTGAATGAAATATTAAGATGACTTCTGCATTTATATTCACTTATAAATTACTACTGTATTGCCCCGTTGAGAGAAAATACAATAGGAAACCAAGAACTTCATGGTCAAGACCACAAAAATACTTCTTAATAAGACTGACTGCCAAACTATTTCTGCTTGCTGACGATATCTCATTCTACAAGCATAGAGGCATCTCACAGTGTAGTGTTTCTTATTTATTCATCACAATATTTTTAATGTCTTGGTTATAGATCAAATATTTTTAATATTTTGCTAGTGCAGTCTTGTTACTTGCTTTCAAAACTTTTCTAAGGCCTCTTTATCCTGATTATCAATTCACACCTTTTATATAATTTTATAACTTCAAGAACACTTTACTGGTGTAATTAAGATGCAAATGACTATTTTATCAGAAGAATTTCAAGCTTTCTAACATTTAAATGTTTTAAATAAAGAACTGTAATTTTTTAGATATGCAAAGCTTTTTAAAAGAACATTTTTTTTTAAATAACCCACAAAAGAAAATGCCTGAATTTTATTTGTATTAAATTTAAATTTCAAGTTGTAATATATATATATATTATTGAATAAAATTCAATTAGCATTACCAAGCTAAAATTCTGAATACAAATTTAAATAAATAAATAAAACCGCTTGTGGGATTTTTACAAAACTTGGCACTTAAATATCATTTAAAGCTTAGAGCCAACATACTGATAAAAAATCAGTGTGCCATTTTAAAAACAAAATCTCATTTTTGTTTCAAAATATGCAGGTTACAGCAATACTATATACAGTGCAAATCCTGAGATCCAAACTCGTTGGTACTTCAGCGATTTCGGTTTTGGGATTTTTCCAGATATTAGATCATCAGTTTAAATTTAGTAAGATGGCATGCAGAAATTAAAAAATTAAAAATATGAAATTGTGGTTAATGAAATAGCAAAGCATTTATGCTCTAAAGGATGTCAAAATTTACAACAAATAGGGTTAATATTTATTTCTTTACTTTATTAAACATTTCTTTCAATCTAAGTTGTTTAAGTTGCTTCGATTTTTGTGCTAATACTTCCTCTTTAATTCTATAATACTTCCTCTTTAATTCTATAAACAGACATAATTTCTTGTTCAGTTACAAAATTCCATTTTGTTCAAATCCTGTAATTGCCGTGTCCAGAATTCTGACTAATTTATCAATCGAAATTTTTTTGTTTTCAATAACCTGTCACTTTATCTCACTATCAATAGTGGTATTTTCTGGATCTAGAACCATATTACAGATTTCAGCATTTGTTAATTGACTCATGATTGGGCACTATCATCGCAATGAAAAACTTCTGTTATATCATCTTCATTTATTACCACTTCTCCAAATTTCTTTACAAAATCCATTAATTGGAATATTTCATCTTCGGTTTGTCATATCCAAAAACTTTCAAATTTGCGGCTTTCATCATCGTTCTCACCATGAAATACGGAAGCTGGCTATAAATTATGCTAAGCACTTTAAGAATCTGGAGACACATCCTCCACGATCTTGCGATGCATCACACAGCAGATTTTACGCTAAAATATTTTAAGAATTCTTGAACAATCTTGCCATTATTCAAGAAATTTAACATGGATTTTAAAAAATGCTACTTTATATTTGCATTTCACTGCACGCACTATTACGATATCTACAGGGTGAATGATGGATGTACAATTTGGAGGAAAGAATAATATGGATACATTATCTTTCACTAAAAATTTAAGTGATGTATGAGCCGAACAGTTGTCTACAATCAGGACAATTTTTTGCACTATCAGGACAATTTATGAAATGATTTTTAAACCAATCATTCATTAGTGCTTGTGTCATCCATGCTCTTTTATTTTCACAATACATAACAGGGAAATTCTTTATTCCTTTATATGCTCGAGCTCGTGTATTTTTTTCTTATTATAAAAAGTTAACACTCATACATTCCTGCAGCATTTGCACATGCTAAAATTGTTAGTTTTGTTTTGGGATCTTTGACACCAGTTGGAGCCTTCTCTGTAGAGGTTGCCATGGTATTTTGTGGTACATATTGTTGACTTAATGTTCTGTTGTTTTCCTCATGCAAATTTAGTTCAGAGGCCAATCGGTGATTAACTAATGTAGTTGCCGCTGACGAAGTATTGGTGGGTTGACCGATGTTGTTTATATACTTGGTGTTCATGAGCACGAGAGAGTTTGCTGGTTTCTTCTTGTCTATTATTATATTTAAAGTCATGAAATAAAGATTAGTTTTATTTTATATTAGTCTCGGCATTTATTTAAAGCAAAGTATACTTTTGCGACTGCTCCAACGCCAACAAGTTATGGGCCCAGCTCAGTTTTGAAGGAATGTAAGCAAAGAGGGCTGTTATCTGCAAAAAGAATCTGAAGTGTTTAGAAGTTGGTTCAAGTGGTTGTACTTACACGAAATTAAAGATGTCTTTACTACCAGAAGGGCTTGAGTTATTGAACCATGACAACTGGGATCGATGAAGAGTCGTTATCAAGATGCTGTTACTAGACAGAAATTGTTGGAGCTTCATACAAGAAGGTAAAGAAAAAATGGTTAAAACTGCAACAAGACGTGACAAGCAGTGTTTCACATTGAGAGAAAATAGAACCTTCACCGTGTTATATTATGGAATTAAAACTGAGTTTAGGCCATTGATACAAGAATGTTCCAGTGGTAAAGAAGCATCAGAGGTTCTACAGAAGCAATATGAACTCAAAACAAGAGCCAGAATAATCCAGCTTCTAGATGAATATTTCAATATTAGATATGCACCTGATGAAGAAATTGGGCTATTCATCACAAGGATAAAAATGACTGCAAAGAAGCTTGCTGAAACTGGACACAACTTAGCAGATCTTTTTAAAGGGTTTCAAGCGATTCGGAGGTTACCCCAGGAATACTCCGGGGTTGTGCAATTGATTTATAGGTGGAAGGACGAGGATTTTAACGCTGGAAAAAATTGCTGAAGAACTGGGAAGGGAAGAAAGTCGGCTTCATCAGGTACAGGCAGATTTAGAAGACAGCAAGGTAAACGTATTTTATACTATCAGCACAAATGCCGGAGAAAGTAATCAAGTTGAAAGTAAAACTAAATGCAAGAAAAAAGAGGGAAATACGAAGAAAGGACCTTGTTATATATGTCATAAAAGAGGACAATCACTCAGAGCAAAGGAAACTTAAGTAAAAGTTAAAAGTGGACGATTAAAATGGACAGTTTAAAAACAGAGTTAATGTTAGTAGAAAATTATGTGTCAACTACAGATAAAAGAGGTAACGCAGACAAAATAGAGATAAATTACAAATGAGATGCAAAGGAAACTAGGGCTCATAAAATATGGCTATTAGAAGAACATAGATTAATAGAAACCTGTAATGTGAAATTCAATGAAAAACTGAGTGCAGAAGATAACATCCTGGGCCAGAAATCAAAAACTAGGTTTAAAAGACTAAACGAAATGGAGGGGTTGTAAGAATCGGATAAAGAACAGGAAACTTCAACAGAACAAATTAAATCATTGGAACATAAATCTACTGCGAAAGAGCTTTCAGACTTAAACTAGCAAAGAAAAGCAGTTAAGAGGCCAGATGGAACATGTACAGACACTTGTGGTTTAGGTCTCATAATGACACTGAAAAATACTGTGAGGCTAGAAATATTAATGGTATAAGGTCAGGCCCAGCTGATTTTGAAATCACTAAAATAATAATAAATTACAAAATTTAGCACTGCATAATAAAAAAAAAATCATATCTCAAAAAGGGAAAAGTTGTCTTTGATGTAATATTTTACGAATTCTTTATTCTCAATAATAATAATAATTTTGAAATGTTTCAATCAAGGCAAGATTTCATACCCAAAAACTTGAGTACTGCACTGTTTATATTAAGTAAGAATTCAAATGATAACCCATCAAATATATATTTGTAATTCAATCGCAAAAAAAATTCCTCCAAAATGCTAATTCACATTCAAAATGGCAATCATAAAAAATAGAGTATGTCAAATGAGTAAAATCAAAGACCTGCCAATTTTGGCCGAAATTAAGGACTTTTAAGAACCCAACATGGTTTTCCAAAAAACCTCAGAATTTTTAAGTACTTTTAATGATTGTACAAATCCTGTTAATCATTTCAAAAACTTTCCTAATAGTTTCTCTTTCTCTAATTACAAATAAAAAAATTTATGAGTTTTTAATTGTGTTGTTTTTCTTGAAGCAAATGGAAACAAAATGCTGAATCGGATAAAGAACAGGAAACTTCAACAGAACAAATTAAATCATTGAAACATAAATCTACTCCGAAAGAGCTTTCAGACTTAAACTGGCAAAGAAAAGCGGTTAGGCCAGATGGAACATGTACAGATACATATTACTACGTAGAAGGAACAGACACTTGGTTAAGGTCTCATAATGACACTAAAAAATACTGTGAGGATAGAAATATTAATGGTATAAGGTCAGGCTCGGCTGATTTTGAAATCACTAAAATATTGATAAATTGCAAAATTTAGCACCGCATAATAAAAAAATCATATCTCAAAAAGGGAAAATTGTTTTTGATGTAATATTTTATGAATTCTTTATTCTCAATAATAATAATAATTTTGAAATGTTTCAATCAAAGCAAGATTTCATACCCAAAAACTTGAGTACTGCACTGTTTATATTAAGTAAGAATTCAAATGATAACCCATCAAATATATATTTGTAATTGAATCGCACAAAAAAAAATTTCCTCCAAAATGCTAATTCACATTCAAAATGGCAATCATAAAAAATAGAATAAGTAAAATGAGTAAAATCAAGGACCTGCCAATTTTGGCCGAAATTACGGACTTTTAAGAACCCAACATCGTTTTCCAAAAAATCTCAGAATTTTTAAGTACTTTTAAAGATTGTAACAAATCCTGTTAATCATTTCAAAAACTTTTCTAATAGTTTCTCTTTCTCTAATTACAAATAAAAAAAATTATGTGTTGTTTTTCTTGAAGCAAATGGAAACAAAATGCTGAAGAAATACAAATTTTAATACAGCAAAATTTTTTAAAAGAAGAAAATTTTATATATTGCTTATTACTCTGAGGCAAAATAAATATTAAATATTTATTGTAGATGATAACTGCTTGCTAAACAGAAGTGTTACAGGTTTTTGCAATATGAATTTTCATAAAACATTATGTTTAAAAACCGATATTTTATTTTTGAAAAAAATACTTAATATTAAACAAACTATGCAAACACACACTTTTGAAGAAGTTATATTTTGTAGTTTCAAGTTAATATATTTAAAAATTTGTACTTTTCAAGACATAATTAAACAGTTCAAAGTATCTAATTACTTTGTGAGACACTCCACATTTTCACTCTTTTCTGATGTACAACAATGTACAAACATGGATTAAAAGTGAAGATTTTTTATTATGCACAGAACATAATTAAATATAGTAAACTTATTGATGCCTACAGTATCATGAACTATTTTAGATTACATTTTAACATGTATTTATTTATAGGTTAACAAGAAAAAGTATAGAAAATGTTGATAAATATCAAAACTTACTTTAATAAAAATAGTTTTTTTATATTCATAAACTAAAACGAAGTACTTAACAGGTAGATAAAAGGCTGGCACATTCCCCTCTGAAATCCCCCCCCCGTTAAGAACCTCTGCTTTATAGAATGTGCAATATTATAAACATTTAAATACATATCCTCATGTTCCAAATATATATTTCTCTTGCATAAAGAAGCCAGTGAACTGTTTGCATTTAGAATTTTCAATCTTCTTGTTTTACATTTGCATGCCTATTAAATAATTTTGCTTCACAGTTTATATACGAACATCATTTGAAAGAATATTTGATGCAATGAAGTTTCATCTTCAAAACATAAATGATTGTGAAATTATATAAATAAAATCCATTCTTTATCCAATTTAATTAAAGCAATGCTAAAAATTAATTTTTTTAACAATTTTAATTTAAAAAGGAACCTGTTGGTGATGATTCAAATTTATTTCTGATCTTATTTCATGATCAGAATTAAATTTGAATCTTCAAATAATTTCATCTTTCTGATCTCATTTCATCTTGAAATAAATAGCAACTAATCAAAATTTAAATAATAGTATAGTTATAATATTCAGTTTACCTTCTTACTTGGTTGACAAAAAGCTCTTTTACTTTCTTCTTCATCTGGACTTGAATGAACAGACTTCTCAATTTTTTTAAAAGGTCTGCTATAACTTTCACTTTTAGCAGATTCACTTACAGGAATGGTAAGTTTGTGTGCTCTTTTTGCCAAAATTGTGCTAAAAACAATTTTAAGAATTTAATAATTTCATACTAAATCAGCTAAGACTAAAAGGTCTCATTAATTTAAACAAAAATGAAGCAACATGAACAAAGTAAGAATATATAAAAATTAATATCCAGACTTTTAATCAACCTTGTATGTTTGAAAAAGCTGTTTTGTTTTAAAAAATTGTCTTTTTAAATTGCAGTAACTGAAGATAAAATAACCTACTAAACCTACTAGCCTTTTTTTCCTAAAACATATTTGTACACCAAAATAAAAGATGAAGTCTGAATAAATTACTTTTACTTTACAATCTACAAGCAATATTCTGCTTTAGCTTCAGTATATACTGAAGCAAAAAACCAAACTATGATGAATTCTATTTCTTAATCAAACCAATTTAAATACATAAATAAGTTTTAAAAATTTATTTCTATATTAATTAATTTTTATGAATTAATAATATAGATGAATTATAAATTTATAATATAGATGAATTAATAATATAGATGAATTTTAATTTAAAGCAGAAACATAATAATACTAATACACCTTCTATATTAATTTAAGGTAATCTTCAATGAAAATTGTCCACTCCTCACCCAAAAAAAAGTATAATCCTTCTTACAAGTTTGAAAAATTATTTTATGCACAAATTATGATCTTCAGATACATCCCTAAGAAGTAAAATCTAATCAACTAAGTTTCATTTCAACATTCATTAACTAAATGTTTATTTCATGAAATCTAGATGTAGATGTTTAAAGAGAAAAAATCTGATGTGTACACCACATGACTTCCTTGTAAGGAATATTAAATTATACGCACTTTTTCTTACACTTCATTTAAACTTCTTGGATTGAATTAAATCTACTTCGCTGACAGCGCATAAACCACAATAGAAAAAATGCATTCTTTAAAATGCACTCTATTTGTTTACCATAGCGACACTCTGATGCTAGGTTCACTTAAGAGTATTATATTTCATTCATATTATAACTCAGAATGCACAAAATTTATATCATTTAAAGAATTATCTAATCGTTGCCACATGTTCTATTTAAATACTATAATAAAATTAGAATGATGTATAAAAGAAATTAAGCAAACAAAACAAAAAAGGAACAGTTTTTCACAGACAATTGAGTATTTCTCATTCAATTAATTCGATTCTCACTTCACGACAAAGCAAAAATACATAAAAACTCAAAATATCTGTATTAAAAATTACGAAGTAAATCTTAAACACTTATTTCCTGAAAAAAATTCCAGAATGGATTAAGCATGATTTAATTCGCAATAATAAATGAAGGTGTTACCTTTGTTGCTGCGAAGCTAAGTTTCTCTAGATTGGCAACAAATCCACTAGCCTGCTGTTTCAAATGTAAACAAGCACTGGCCGCCATCAAAAAAATTGTTAGGCTTAGAGCGGCACTTAAAAAACTTTAAAATTGTTGATAATTCTAAAAATATTGCATACAGATTTACTAAAGGCATAATGTTTATATACGTTTGGCACAGCCGATTGCAACCAAAATACGAGGTGCACATCTACATGTTATAGCAGTCCTATATACAAAATTTCAACGTTCTGAGGCTACTCATTTTTGAGTTATGCGAGATACATTCGTACAGATGCCACGAAAAATTCTCTCCAGAATTCATTTTAAAGCAGTTTTAGAATTTTTTTGGAGTGAAAGAGTATTTTATTCTGTCCTTACGTACAGATATCACACAAAAATATCATTAAATTGCATTCGATAGCGGTCAAAATGGATATTTTCGTTGAAATATGCTGCCTGAAACTTTTCGCGATTATAATACTTCCTTTTTACTTCGTACAAGGAAGTAAAAACGGCATTACTAAAGAACAAGAATAATAAGATACTCAATGTTTAAAAGGATTACTAATAAAACATTTCCTTTTCACACACAACATCTTATAGATAAATAACACTTTCTATGAAATTAAAGTAATGAATTCGACATATTGTTCATTTTTACCATTTCTAAGTGCTTCAGTTTGAAAGAGTTTATGCCATGTTTAAGGACCACTTGTAAGAATCGTTGCTACTAAAACTGCACACAAAAAAAGGACATTTCTTATCTCCCATTCTACTGGGCCAATTGACAAAATTCAGATTGCATTTTTTATGTCTCAAAAGCACGACTTAGTATATATACAGCATCATTCTAACATAGATATTTTGACATAAAATCGGATTTTCTCTGAAATGACATGCCAATTTTTTTCTATATTTCGATTCTACAACTCAAACTATGCCTAAATATTAAATTTTGCAAAATTTGGTGCAAAATTTATGGAGAACTTCAAAAATTTTATCTTGGCGTATATTTTTCAGTTTGTGCGAAGAATAATTTACTTAGCGAACTTCTTAATTTATAGCACCCTATTTTCCTTTTCTTTTTTTCATCGAAGACCAGTGAGGGAAAAAAGTCATCGTTCATACTTTCAAATAATTTTAACAAAGTGTGTATTATTGTTTGCCGTTATTATCACTCACCAAAAAAAGAGCCAAATTTCAACACTCTTCAATATGTAAATTCATGTGTATCTTAGAAAATTTTGAATAAAAAAGTATAATTTTTTGCAGGAGTGCCTAGAAATACATCTACTTTAACACGATGTTAAAAATTTTATTCGTTATAAAACAAAAAATTTTTTTTTAAATTTATAAAAATATTTTAAAATACAAATTTTAAAAATAAAAGTGTGCGAATTCTATTTAAGCCTAAATTTCGAATTCTGGAAAGAAAAAAAAAAAAGAGAGATTAATAAATATATATCAAATTCAATTAACATCGAGAAGCTAATATTTTAAGAGCTAATTTTTTTTAATTAATCATGCGATTTTTACAAAAATTGGCATGTCATTTCAAAGAAAGTCTGATTTAGTGTCAAAATACCTATATTAGAACAAGGCTATATATAAATCTAATACATATCTTAAGTCATGCTTTTTAGACGTGAAAAACGCAAGTTGAATTTCATCAATCGGCTCAGTAGAACGAGCGATATAGAACTGTAAGCAGTGTACGTTTGAATTTCATCAATTGGCTCAGTAGAACGAGCGATATAGAACTGTAAGCAGTATACGTATTTCATACAGAGCTGAAATCTATACATAAACTTTATCTATTCAGACCAAAGCCATTCTTATTAAAGAAACTAAACAGTACCCTGCAACATCAGAACATATAAAAAGTGCTTCAGTTCCGGTTTGTTTATATTCTTTTTATTTTCTTTTTATTTATTTATTATTTATTACTTATTTATTATTTCTTACTCAGTAAATCTATTTCACTGACAAGCACATTTCAATAAAATGTCAGGCAAAAAATAAGAAAGAAGCTTAACATTTTTTATGTGCACAACCATGTAAGGCTTTTTCTTTTTTTAATGAAATCTTGCTACAGCAGGGAGCATAATATGTACCGTCAAATGTCGTTAATCCGGACTCGTCGGGGATTCCGGATTATAGATCATCAGTTTAAATCTCGTAAGATGGCATGCAGAAATTCTAAAATTAAAAATATGAAACCAACCATAATTTATGAAATAAAGAACAATTATGATCTAAAGGGTATCAAAATTTACAAAAAAAAAAAAAAAAGCTTAATATTTATTTGTTTACTTTATTAAACATTTCTTTCAATGTAAGTTGTTTAAGTTGCTTCATTTTTTATGTGATAATACTTTCCCTCTTTAATTCTATAAAAAGACATAATTTCTTGCTCAGTTACAAAGTTCCACTGTTCAAGTCCCGTAATTGCAGTGCCGAGAATACCGACTAACTTGTCAATCGAAATTTTTTCGTTTTCAATAACCTCTCTGTCACCTTCTTCATGTCTTTATCCATTTTTTGCAATAATTCCACTTTTTGTTTGATGGACATCGAAACATACTTTCGTTTTGTAGATCCTTTGGGAGCTCTAGCATCGGAAATTCTATTTGACATAATCGAAAGTTCAAGTTTACTTTTATAAAATGGCTCTTACAGTCTGCAAAAAATAATAAGCCCGATCCAATTCGAAGATTAAGGAACAACGCAATCATCAACATTAACTGAAATAGATAATTAGATAATTTTAGCTTATATCATCCGTTATACATTAAACGCGCAGGTGAAAACGAAATCCCGACGAGTCCGGATTAACGACTTTTGACTGTATTTACTCATTCGAACTGCGTAGTTTAAATCAAAGGTGCATCGTTTATTTATTTTTTTTTTCAAATAGTTTTCTTTATACTATATTTTTAGTCATAGTTACTATTTTAGGTAATTTTTAGACTTTTATTTTAATTGTTAGTGTTGCACTGTCTCTTCAGATAATTATTTTTAAATTTTCTATTCGATATTATCTATCGAACTGAGCATTTTAAATATATTTATCAATATAAATTTTCCAGAATTTGATTTTATTTATTTGAATTGCATTTCTTTCGGAAGACTACTTTGTAACCCAGACTATGATGCATTTCAAAACTGCATATATTAAAAGAGAAAATACAGTAAAGCAGAGTTAACACTCCTTTCAATGTTCCGTTCAGGAAAGATATATAAATAAGAGAGATGAATAACCGACATTTTAACTTAGGATGATTTGCATACACTGCTTGAAACAGTTTTATCATTGTGCCCATTGCTTTACACAATTTTATCATCCTACATTTGGTTTCTTAAAATGTTATTCATATTTTAGTCAAATATTTTCTTTTTGAAATCACAAGAATCAAATATCATAAGATTAAAAAAGTTTTAAATTTAAAAATTACAAATACTAAATTTTACGCAAAAATAAATTTTTTCTTTTCTTTTTCTATAGGCATTCTGCTTCATTCTTGATCTTTTTCTTCAGGCATTCTGCAAGTATATTAAAAAGCATCCAACTTTTCGAAACACTTTGGTATTTTTGACAATCATTTTAAATAAAGTTATCACCTTCCATTTCATAAAGGCCCGCAAACGGCCGAGCGATAAAGTCGCTGAACAGTGGTAATTCAGCTCCGGGGTTCGAATCCCGGCGTAAACGGGCTGGTTGCATGGGCGTTTTCGTGGATTTTTCTCATTGTAATGTGTATGCCAGCTGGTTTCCTTAGAAAGTTCTTCACGAAGGCATCCTCCTTTTAGGGCAGATAGCCCTGCTTTGCCGTAACTTAATAATCCAATTCAATCCATTTTAACAGTATTTGGTCAGAGCCTTTATCAGTCTTTAGAGGCTAAGCATTTTGAAGGTATGAGATGAAAGGAAAGACTGGTTTCATCAAGAGGTTTTGGTTTATTTAATTATGGCAAAGCACACTAGGGCTATCTGCTTAAGGGGAGGGATGCCTTCGTGTAGGACTTTCTAAGGGAAACTGCCTTGTATACACATTACACATGGAGAAAACGCCCATGCAGCCAGCCCGTTTGCAGGATTTGAACCTCGGATCGAACTACCAGTGTTCAGCAACTTTACTGCTTGGCCTCTGTTTCATCAGGAGGAAAGAAAAATCTTTAGGTGACATCCACATACATCACTGGATAAACTCTTGAATCTTCAAATAATTCGACTGAGAAATCATGGGATTCTCCGTTTATGATACGATACGATGTTCTATAATGTAATTTAAATTTATACAAACCATATAGTCGAAAACCAGTTGCTCTTCACTTTAATCAGCAATGATACATCGTCCAAGTGTCTTTTCTGTTAACACAAGCTCAATTGATGGTATTTGCTGGTGTACATGTCCAATTGTTTTCTTTTTGAACACATAATTCTTTGACGTAGCCTGAAAGTATATTCAAAAGTGTTCAACTTAAAACATCTCGGTATATCTGACAGCCAAATTTCCCTTCAAATTTTTGCTTACTTTTCTCCCTAATTTTCTTGTTTTCTTCTACAGTTATTTTCAGTGCTCACACAAGATGTGTGTGTGTGTGTGATTATGGCAAAGCCTCGAGGGCTATCTGCCTAAGAGGAGGGATGCCTTCATGGAGGACTTTCTAAGGGAAACTGGCTCGTATACACGTTACATATGGGGAAAACCACGAAAACGCCCATGCAGCCAGCCCGTTCGCGGGATTCGAACCTCGGGCCGAACTACCAGTGTTCAGCAATTTTACCACTCGGCCGCTGGTGGGCGCTCACACAAGAAGATTAAGATTTTTCGATTGCTAGACTTCCATAAATTTTCCATTCTTGTCAATTTTTTTAAAATATCAATTACATGAATTGTGTTTCAGCTGAAGACAGCTTTTCATTTTTATTATATGATGAAAGCTGATTAGTGTCAGCTGTAATCCGGCTCATCATTTTATATGACTGGATTTTAATCTTTTACGTGTTATTGTATTATTCTGTGTATTGTCTAGGTATGATTACTGTATTATTTCATTTTTTTAATTCTTTTATGATGAACCGGCTTAATAGTGTCGGTTGTAATCATTTTAACTATAAATAAAGTTTAAAGCAAAGTCCAAAAGATAAATAATTTAATTAAAAGATTTTTTGTTAAATGACAAAGAAATAAAACAGACCAGCAATGTTTATTCTGTACTACTAAGTGACCCGATTATTATATCAGCTACAAACAATCTAAATCATATTAAAGATTATGTTTTTTATACAATCTATAACACGAGAGAAAATTAGCTAATTAAAACATTCTTTCGAAGAGGATTAATGTAAAAATTTATATATATAATTTTTAAAGGTGGGACATTACCCAAACTATCAATGTCCTGTTTGCTTAAAAACATTGTGAAAATAAACATCAAACGAACTTTCTCAGTTTTAGACAATTCAATTTAAATGCAATCAATGTAAAGTATCAGATGATAACAAGACGAAGGCAAAAATTTTACTCTTACAAATATTAAAAAAAAAAAAAAAATGGAAGGGAAAAAGAAGTTAAAAATTTGAATAATATCATTTATAATTTAAAAAAATAGCTTTTTATATAATTAATAAATATTTATTATGCATCATTGAGAGAAAACATTTCATATAATTAATTCTCCCTAAAAATTTATTTGAAATTTAAGGTTAAAAGTAACTGCGGCAACTCACTGTAACAGAAATCCATAAACCACATTTGGCGCTATTATCGCTCAAAAAAAGATGCCAAATTTCAAAAAGTGAAAATATGTAAATTCGTGTATATCTTAGAGAAAATTTTGAATAAAAACTCTAATTTTTTACATGTATGCTTAGAACTACACCTACTTTAAGACAATGGTAAAAAGATTATAATTCAAAATTTTTTTTCGAAAAATTTATAAAAATTATTTTAAAAAATAAAACACAAAAAATGGGTGAAATTTATTTGGAATGAACCTAAATTTCGAAATGTGAAAGGGAAAAATCAAAAAAGTTTAATAAAAAAAGAGATATTAATAAATAATTCAATTAATATTGAGGAGCTAAAATTTTGAAAGCTAATATTTTAAAAACTACTTGTACGATTTTTACAAAACTTGGCATTCTGACACTATTTGAGTCGTAGAATCGAAGTATGGAAAAAAATTGGTATGTTATTTCATAAGAAGTCGGATTTTGTGTAAAAATACCTATGTTAGAATAGTGCTATATATAAATCTAATATACAGTGGTGGCCAAAATTGTGGACACTTTTAGAAATTTTTATGTTTTTGAACTTTGTATGCTTATAGAAAACATTACATTTCACAAAATGCAAACTTGTATATATCATTTTAAAGATCATTTTAAAAAATTAATTTCCAAAATAATCTTAGAGTTAAAATTAAGATAAATGAAAATAATAAAAAAATAAACATCATGCCTCTAAGTTTCATTGCATCTCTAATACGCAATGCTTATTTTATTTTTTTACACTTTGAATGAAATACATTCATGTGTACATGCACAGAATGTTTTCACATTTTAAACACTGCATTCACCTTCTGTCCTTGGCACGAGGGCAATTTATCACATCTTTCAAACTTAGTTGTTTCGAATTTCATGTATTCGTTTTAATTCTTCATCGAAACTTCTGATTTTGTTTTGCAAGCATTACGTCAGTTTCTTGGTAAATTATTAATCTCTGATCTTTGTTCAATACCTTTTTTCATTAATTGTAATGCTAAGTCCTTCAAAAACAAACTTCTGGTTCTGGTTGGTGGATTAGCAGTTGAATGTAATATAATTCAAACATTTATTACAGCAACAATCAGTGCAGGAAAGAAAATTACCATTGGCCACCTCCTTTTTATTCTGGCAATTGAATAATTGCCTCACATTTCATCCCCCATATCCACTGCTCCTTTAGTCACATTATAAAAACATATAATTCCTGACATTTTATTTTCTCCAATAGTATCATCTATAGTATGATCGTTATATAATGTTGAAAGCATAAGAACAGTTTTTCCTTTTTTAGGAACATCAGGAATTAATGTTTTATCTTTTTTGAAACCAAAACAGCGTAGTATTCCTAGTTTCATCTTCAGTTTCTGAAATTAAATCTTCAGCACTTTCAAATATTTCTAATAAATCTCACAGGCGTTGCATCTCCAATTCATAGGAAGTCATTCTCTTTTTACCATAATGCAGTTAGAAATTTTTAAGAATTTAATGTCAAGTACTTTAAGATCACTTGCGAGTAGAAATATTTGCCGTTACACTCTAGAAATAAATTTCTGAACTAAATATGCAGTCAGAAACACACTTACGCGGACAGGCACGTGGGGTGTGTCATACCCCAGTTCCAACAAATACCGATAAATCTTTTTCTGAAATGCACAGGCAAAGAAAAAGCGATTCTGAGAATCAACCATAACTAGAAACTCAACTACTGAATGCAGCACAGAATTTCAGTTTTACAAGTTAGGAATATTCCACTTTTATGTAGGGCTGGGGTATGATACACCCTATGCGCTTTCCTACAGGTTAAGAACAACTTAAATGTTCTGCTTTTGAACAACTCAATTCTACAAAGAGTGGACCATAAATCTTCCTAAATGTTGATAGAAGATTAGGGCTGATGTTTATTCAATATGATGAATTTCTGATTGTTATGAAATTATTATTTATGATATGTTCTTTACACAAACAGAAATACCCAGCAACTTGATAATTTTTGATTAAATTAAGACGTAATTTCACATTTTTGACAAATTTTTCAAGTACAAATTAAAATTCATAAATCAAGAAGATATAACATACAAAATAATATCTTATGCGTACCTATTTGACTTGGTTATATGTTTTGACTTGCGATATGAAGCATTAAAAGAATCTAGAACATCATTTGTGATAGCCCCAGATTCAGGTATTGATATTACTGGCATTGGAGGAGGGACACGGCATCGCAGACCCCAAAGAAGCGTCTTTCTCTTCACTTCCTTGCCCGAGGTAAACCTGGTATAACAAATAAATTAACTATTAATAACAGATAACAAGAAACATAGGTTTAATAACATACATCATTTGAAATTTCAAAAAATATCTGTGAATTCAGGAAGATGAAATACAATTCACTCAAAATAAAAATATGTAACTTTGCTCTGTTAATATTCATTTTTTAACTCCATAATAAATGTAACAAAATGTACAGCTCCCAAATAAATGTAAAGAATGTACAAAATGTTATTTCATCGTATTATTTAATAATGATCATGGTAACACAGAAAAAATTTAAATATAGTTACACAGCCATTTCCAAATTTAAAATGCACAAATTTCCATTATTTTATGAATTTAAAATTTAAGGATTAACTTTAGAATCTTTAAGTATCTCTCTCTCTCTCTCTATATATATATATATTACCTGCTCTTGGTATTTTGAAGAATCTGTAACATTTTTTTCTTTTTTTCATCACCAGGCATTCGAGACATTGACTTAAAGGGAAATAAAAAATATAATTACAACATAAAATAAAAAGAATACATCATCAAATAAAAAAAAAAAAAAAAAAAAATTGGCTCCAATTTTAGGAAATTGGTGCAAAAAGGAAAATTTGGGAAATTTAATGCCAAAAAAAATTTATATTCTCTTACGATGTGAAAACTCATTGCAAGTAATAGCAATTATTTAAAATCAAAAACAATTTATTAACTTTACGTTTTTCTTCATCTGTAAAAGGATCTATTTTCACAAAACAGTTGTTCAGGGCTATAAAGCTCACTTTATGAGAGCAAGTTACTAAAACATATTTTAATGTAAATCAACAATGATTTCACATCAATAAATCACAATGCATTGTAGCATTAATAATACTTACTTCTCCTTTGATCTGGAATTGAGACCATTTCTCTTTTAGGAAAGACATGATTGTAGTATCAAAATCAAAATACTTTTTCCCATGCATTACAGACAAATTAAAAAGGACTAGATGAGCAATATCAGGCCTACAACATAAAAAGAAAACAAATGTAAAATTTTATAATTAAAAAGAAAGAAAAACACAATTCCTAGAAATACCAACAACTAATAATTTACCATCTTAAAGGAAGACGCCGAAGGAACTCTGGTCCTTTATTGCACACAGAGCATACAAAAATATAAAATCTATCTCCATATAAAAGAGGTTCATCTAAGCATTGAAGGCAAGCTATAATAGAAATACATATATAAAGGACAGATCATTTTTAAAAATGAAAGAAAGAACAATGTATTGCATATTATTATTACTTAGCAGTAAATTAAAAAAGAAGATTTAGAAAAAGTTAATAGCTCCCTATCTTAAAAGGTTCAAAATTCACATATAATACCATAAGTCAACTTTGATCAAATCACATGAAAATTGCATATAAATAAATAATAATCATTTTTAAATAATCCTGAAAATATTTTTATAACAATGTGAAATTATTTTTTAAAAACAAAAATCTGCTATATTTTCATATTGCAGAAGTCATTTTCAATTATTATGCACGTAGAACATTAATGCTCATTAATTTAAAAAAAATATGCTCATTATAAAACAGGAAAAGTTGGAATCTGCAAATTCAAAGACATATATGCATTTATCAAATATCAAAATTATAAATCTTTCTTTCCAACTCTTCACATACTATTTGATAGTAATCTATGCAGAAAAGTAAAACAACATTTTAGAACCTTTATAGTTCAGAAATCTGTTGCCAAACCCAAAATTCAGCAGAATGTATGATCTTCATCTGCTGATTATCCCTTCTGCTAGATATGCAATATTTTGCCTAATTACGTATATAGTTATAAATCTCCTCCTGATATACAATACAGTCAAGTTAAACAAATACAGTCAAACAAATACAGTTAAACAAATACAGTCAAGTTATAAATGTGATTAACTAGATACAAATTTTTTTACATATTATATAAAGTCTCCAAGAATGAATGGGAGGATTTCACGAGGTCTTCATGAAGTATGTGTTACGTCAAATGAATTGAAAGTGCTTTTATTTAATTCCATCGCTCAAAAAGATCATGTACAATATATGCACCATTAACAGTAAGTATGACAAGCATCAAAGCAATATTCAGTTGCTGTTTACACTCCGACAAGAATACCTGGTACAATACTTGTAATTGTGATTCTTTCTTTGAGATGGTCAATAATGTCAATTCTTAAACTTTAAACTTTTTTCAAAAATTCATTTTTAACAGAATCCAAAAGAATAGTATATAAGATAAAAACCTATCCTCCTCGGATAAGTCCAATTCTGTCAGTCTATTGTCCTGAGTATTAGCGATTCATCTAATCTCCCAAAAAGCTGAAAAATAGAACTCATTTTGTTGAATCTGCAACTCAGCATTTTCCGTTTGTATTTGCTCTATTTGGGGGAAGAAGACCTAAATCATGTCTACAGTGGGTTCTGCATGGACTTTCAAAGCTTTAGATTTAGCAGTTGTAACAATTTACATAACTGTTTGCATGGAATAGTCTCCTGGTAAGAGGAAGATATATTAAAAAAAGCTGGGTCACTATCCAGTCTCTGTAGTATGTTCAAAACATAGATAATCCTATACACCTGCGTTCCAATTGCATGCAATAGTTTAATTTTAAAGGAATATAACTTATCTTAAAGAATATAATTCTCTTATGCACGATATCACATATATTTGCTTTTGGAAGACTTACATATTGATTATAGCATGGAATGGACTTTTAAGAACAGCAAATGCAAGATTGTCAGATTTTTTTAACATTACCTTCTGATGTTCTAGGCCTTCTTATGTACACAATAAAAATGCATACACATATTCTTTTTGTGTGACAGGATAAAAAAAAAAGCATTTGCAATCAATTTTACATTATACCTATTTTGCACACTTCGGAAAACCTAAGCATCTACATTGTGGTTATGAAAACTTATTTTATACATATTTAAAGACAATTCATCAAATTTAAAGATTAAAAATACTTATATTTGGTTTAAAAAAGGTGCTGCTTTTCAAAATTATATAATAAATTAATGACAGCAATTAGCACTAAGAACAAAATAAGATATTTTACAAAACTAACCTTCGTGAAACCACTGCTTACATCTCGTACATTGAAGCATCTTGGAATACCATCTGTAAAATAAATAAATAAATGTAATGCAAAAAGTTTGATAATAATGAGTATAACATAAAAAGAAATTAAACTTACTCTCCAGGACCCCCACAATAGCAATATGTCTGCTGTAGATTTGAACGGTGAGAACTGTCCCATGTTAATACCTGAGGCTAAAAAAAAATAAACTTATACTTTAACCAAATTAACTGAAAGAAAACAGCACTCATATACCTTATCAGAGATAAAAAAAAACAGTGCAAAAGTAACTCACATCATAAGGTAATGTTTCTTTCATTAACATCATTGCTTGAGCTGGGAAGAAAATTAAACATTAATTTTATGGTTATTTTGCAACAAATTTTTACATACTTTGCAAACACATTTTGAATATGCATAAAGAGTACAATACATGACTAACTGATTGTTCTCCTGGTATGTTTTAGAACTCTTAAAAATACATTATACAGCTGATTTCAATATTAATACTTAATTGAAAGTTGTACGAATTGGCAATAGCTGTTACAATACTGAATGCAGTTTTGATCCAATTAAAGTTTTACATGTTGCGTAATTTAATAGGATCAACCATACTTTAAATTTCACAATGCATGTTTATTAGTACAGAAACTACTTAAGAGAGTACAGAGGCATAACTAGCACCCGGAGACAACTGAAGATTTTGCACCCCTTTCCATGTGCCAAGCATAGAAAACCTTTCATTCTAAAATTTTACAAAGGATCAACCATACTTTAAATTTCACAATGCATGTTTATTAGTACAGAAACTACTTAAGAGAGTACAGAGGCATAACTAGCACCCGGAGACAACTGAAGATTTTGCACCCCTTTCCATGTGCCAAGCATAGAAAACCTTTCATTCTAAAATTTCGTAAAATCAATTTGGCACCTCCTGGATGCTGCTGCGTCCAGGGACAGATATCCCCCTTGCCCCACCCTAGCTATGCCACTGAGACAGTAGTTTAAGTAGTATATCAAAATTTAACTGCAATTAAATTAAATTTCAAGATATTTACGATATGTTCAGAATTACAGCATGTTGTATGGATCACTCAGATTGACGAAAGAGATGTTTGCTTTCAAATTCCATGGATATACATAATATAATTTTGTAATTATACTAATACTGTTGACTCAATACCTTGGCAAAATGACATGTGTTTATTAGAATAGCTGTTACTTTTAAATTGTAAACTTTTCTACTCCGATTCTTGTAACGATCTGTTGTACATATTTTTGTAAAACTTTTACATCGTACATTCAGCGATTTGTCATTATTTCTGTTTTTATTATTGTAAATAATATTTGTGTATCCATATACTTATTTAATAACTTTTATGTACACAATATAATGTCATTTACTGACATATGTTTTGTGATAAGTGAAAAATATTTATTTTATCCCAAAAATGTTAAATATTTCATAAAGGCTACTTGCTCAGTTTTTTTTTTTCCTAATTCTCAAGTAAATTACAAATGCAAAGGTTGTATGTAAATGGGTGAATTTTAATGACTAGTATTAATGCACAAAATATACTTCAATTGTTTTTCAACAGTGTATTCCATATCCATGATATAATGTGCAAAGAACTGACGAGTACAGTTGCTGCCAATTATATGATTGTTATATGAATTAGAAGTAAACTTCAAATAAACTTTTTGGCAATGTTCATTTTTTGTATTTATACATTAACAATTTACATTCAAGTTACTTTAAAACAATTTTCGGAATTGAACTTACTAACTATGAATTTACTCTTTTAAGATAATTCTACTAAAATTAATCTTAAGAGATAACATAATCAATATTTCTTTATAATACACACACATCTAATAAGTCATATAGCTACATACACACAGAAAGAAAGATGTGATGGTTTAGATGTTGATGTATGTTTATTAGTATTAATGTAATGAATAAAATTTATATTAATGAATGTATATACAAAAGTTTTTCATCATTCATAATAATAAATCCATAAATTTCGAGTGTTTCAATATGTAGCACTTAAAATAAAAATATAGTTCTTAATGTGTTTATAATCAAAAAAGCATTTCTTTAAAAACTTGAAGATAATGGCATACAAATTTAACGTGTATCCTCATTATTACATAATCTATGTTTTAATAAATATACATAATCGCTAATTATGCAATTCCAATTTAAAAGTAGTAAACGTAATTAGCAGAAAAGTAAATCACGTATATACAAACAGATTTTAAAATTTTATTCACTTTAAATTTAATAAAAAATTCTATTATATGATAGTAGCATTTCTTTTTACATGATCAGCATGAAATACGACAAATTTGGCAAACTTTTGACAATGACTAATTTGTAAACAAATCATCAGAAATAGCAAGTCATCACCAAGCTATTCATATACTGTCTACTCTGAAATTTTTACAATTATAAATTTAATGAATATAAAAATTTTTTAAATGACTTCAGACAGTTATACTACAACAAAACAGCAATATATATATACAGCTTTTTCCATATTTCTTCAATTAAATCGGCTTCTATTTCCACCATTCAGGATCTCAAAGTTGCAGCCATCACCATATTGAAAATTATCCCCTTCAGAAGCAGAACTTCGCCTGATTGGTTGATCTCTACGTGAAACACAGCTGCGAACGAAACATTTTAAGAAAAGTTTCAAAATGTTCCTCATAGACGGAACATTTCTTGTAAATCACCCGTTTAAACCAGTGCTACTAGAATCTCGTTTCTCGGAAATGTCTCGCCTAGCCGCACACGCCGCTAGATATGATAGCCCTTTTATAGGTGTTAATGAAGACATGATTGCAAATGCATATCTAAATTAGTAATACAATAATACTGCATAAAAATACCACTGTTTAAATTTTTTTGCATGCTGGCATTATATATTTGGTGACAATGTTCATTTTGCAGAGTTTAAAGAGCAAAATATACTTTAATGAAAATTACTTAAATACAATTTAGGTGCTTTCATTACATTATTAAGAAGTCAGTAAAAAAAAGAACAATAATTAGGTAGTTTACAATTTTCTCTTATCATTCACTTTTTAAAAATTATATTCACTTTTTTAAACTGATAATAATTCAATGTGTAGATCAACATGTTTTAACTTGGATACCATCTGTAAAGTAACAGCACTTTCAACTTAAGATCCATATTAATATGCTTACCATTTGTTCCTTTTCTGGAAGCACCACCTTTCTGAAAGTAATTATTCAGAAAATAAAAATCGCATAACAGAGTTTTATAATTAAAAGCATAATACTTAGTAAAAACAAAAAAACTTCATATTCTACTCAGTTCTTAAATATAAAATAAATTAGTTTTTAAAATTTCAGTTAAACTTACAATACTAAAAAAAAAAATTAAACATTCCATCAAACACTTCAGTATTAAAGACAGTATAAGCTCCCCCCACCCCCAATTTATGCATTTGGAATTCTAATTTAATAAATGTATTTTTTACAAAAATATATTAAAAATATGTTAGGTAGGAAACATCTTGAACAAATAAAATGTAAACAATTACTACTGTAATTACTAAATGGCAGTAAACTCCCTTAAAATTTTTTATAAAACTTCTCCACGAATACTCATATTACTTTTATCCAGAAATATTTTTAAAAACTTTAAATTAATTCCCTAATTATTTGTATGAATTTGTATTTGCTTCCATTTAAAAAAAAAAAATAATAAATGATAAAAAGATAAAATAAGTAAATTTCTATAATTATAACATAAAAAAGCATTAATGATAAATATTTTCCAGGTTTCAAAAAAACAAATGAATTAAAATCAAAAATATATTTATGTTAAGAGAAGAAAGATTTTCTATGAGCACTTTTAAAATTTATAAAACATTAACAGTACTTAAATTTTAAAATTTCTAAATATAATACACATTTCAAAATATTATGAGTTAGTCTGAGAGTAAAGTTACAAAATCTATATTTCTTATAATGACATCAATCCCATTTTATATTTCTTTTTTAAATATAGATAAACTCTTCGCTTCACATATTTTTTGGTATTTAAAAAAAAAAAATTCCTGCAAAATATTTTACAGCTACTTCTCAGCCATAAAAATTTATTTTCTTGAAAAGTCAGCATAAATACCATGAATGGCACTCAAATTATTATTAAAATAGTATCATCATATGATTTTCTATACACCCTACAATATAAATATGAGGGTTCATCCAGAAATAAGGTTCCCATCAATGTTACAAATAGACAACATTGTTTATTCTCATAGCAATGTACAGTGCCAAAAAAAAAAAGGAGGGAGACAGTTCTATATCTCTCGTTCTACTGGGTCGATTGACAAATTTCAAATTGCATTTTTCATGTCTCGAAAGTGCGACTTAGGATATATATTAGCTTTATATATAGCATTATTCAAATATACGTATTTTGACACAAAATTGGACTTTTTCTGAAATAATATATCAATTTTTTTCCATATTTCGATTCTACGACTCAAATTATGCCTAGATATTAAATTTTGTAGTTTTTAGTGATAAATTTATGGAGAAATTTAAAAATTTATATTGGCACATTTTTTACAGCTTGAGCCAAGAATAATTCACTTTGCGGAATTCTTAATTTGTAGCAACCTACTAACTTTCCTTTTTTTCATTGATGCATGAGAGGATAAAAGGTCCATCATTCATGCTTTCAAATAATGTGAATAAAGTGTGTAAACCACATTTTCGTTATCACTAATATTAAATACATCAAATTTCAAAACGTAAATTCACGTATATCTTAAGAAACGTATCCAGTTAATAATACTAAAGTATCTATTCACTTAAAAATTTAGCTTATATAATATGATCATATATTAATATTATTTTTTTCTGTTTCATAAATTAAATTATTCAAAATTTATTTTTTAAATTAAATGCATATCATTAACTATTATACACCTTCTTTGATAAATACAATATTAAAATTAATTCCATTTATGCAAAAAATGTTCATATATGACATCAAACCATTAAAGAATTAACAGCATTTTAAAAAATGAGTATCTATTTAAAAATACAAATAAAAGTTTACTTTAGCAGTTGATGCAAATATACATTTTCTGCAAGACCACGAAACTTCAGGTTTTAAAACAGAAGAATCAATTTTAGGGATATGACATAGTTGATGATAACCTATGATATAAAATAAGAAGGAATTATTAATAATAGTAGTTAAGATAGTTACAAATAATAGATACTTGTGCAGCAAATATTAATAGATATAGTTAAATAACAGATATTTGTGCAAAAATGAGTTTTTTTTTAAAGAAACATCTCTTCATAGAAACAAATGAGAAAAGTGAATGAGAAAATGAGAAAATTTTAATTTATTCCTTTTTTAGGCACTCTTCTCTTATCAGGAGAAGATTCAGAAATGTATGCATGTGTGTATGTGCATACATATATGTGTATGAGTGTATACACACACATATGCACATATATCCATACATATGTGCATACATACATATATACATTTATGGTTACTAATGAAAAAAGGTTGCTGACGATCTGGAGGTTTGGATTTTAGATCATTCCAGATAATGGATGTCCAGATTTCATATATTATCATTGCAAAACCATTCACGACATGATATAAATAAGTTATCATATTTGCCATTTTGGTGTACATTTGGCAATTTTAGCACAGCATTAACCCATTACCACCAAGTGATCTATTTATAGATTGTCTACTTTTGGAACGACCAATGAGAACAATATCTTTTAATCACTTATTTTTGTCACTGGCTGATTTCCTTACATATGTGACCATATCCCCAAAGGCATTTTAAAACATTCTTTTTCAGCACAGTCCAGCAGATAATGTCTGAATTTAGTCAAGTGATGCTTTATAACATAGCTTTCGATTTGGTATACAACGAAGAAAAAAACTGAAAGTTAAGTTATACATTTCTTACGTGTTCTACATTTTCAATACCTCTTTATTAATTGTTCTGCGTTATTAGATTAGAAAAATAACTGTTCTTAAAATTAAATTTTCAGCTTAAACATTCTGATCCTATAAATAGATCGCTAGGCATTAGTGGTAACTAATACAGTACAAAGTCTTTAATCCGAACTCGTCGGGACTTCGGCGATTCCGGATTAGGGGTTTTTCTGGATTATAGATCATCAATTTCGGTAAGATGGCATGCAGAAATTATAAAATTAAAAATATGAAACCATAATTTATGAAATAAAGAGCAATTATGATCTAAAAGGGTATCAAAATTTACAAAAAAATAGCTTAATATTTATTTGTTTACTTTATTAAACATTTCTTTCAATGCAAGTTGTTTAAGTTGCTTCGTTTTTTGTGCTAATATTTTCTCTTTAATTCTATAAACAGACATAATTACTTATTCAGTTCCACTGTTCAAGTCCAATAATTGCTGTGTCAAGAATACCGACTAACTTGTCAATCGAAATTTTTCCGTTTTCAATAACCTCTTTGTCACTTTCTTCACTATCGGAAGCAGTACATCGAAACATGCTTTCGCTTTGGCAGCTCCAGAATCGGAAACTTTTTGACATAATCAAAAATTCAAGCTTACTTTTTATAAAATCGCTCGAACAGTCTGCAAAAAATAATAAGCCGGATTCAATTAGAAGATTAAGAAAGAATGCAATCTGCAACATTAACTGAAATAGATAATTAGATTATTTTAGCCTAGCTTATACCGTCCATTATACATTTAATGCGCATGCGTAAACGTATCGTGCGCATGCATAAAGGTATTATGCGCATGAGTAAACGCATTATGCATTTACGCATGCAGAAAGTTTGTAGCTTTGAGGTTCGGATTATAGATCATTCCACATTAAAGACTTTGTACTGTACTGTTTTTTTTTCTTTGCAAAATGTCCAGGTGTAAAGTGTATCACACCACCGAAGAAGCATTAGAATATATGTTTTCTGTAGAGATTGAGCCAGATATAATTATTCCTTTACTGCTTGAGGTGGATGAGTTAACTGACGAAGAGTGCTTTGATGTTGGTGAAATGATCACTCCATCAATAAATGCATAAATAATTTTGGACCTAACATTACGGAGCAATTGCCATCTAAATTTAGAGCCAGTAATGAAAATGAAAATAAAAAAGAGTTAGTTCGAAATTATAAAAAAAAAAATCAGCCAAAAGCAAATTGGACAAAACATAACCCTACTTATGCTTTTGACAAAGAAGGTAATTCGTCTGGTGAAAATCCTGAGAGTACTTCAAATGTTTTAGAAAATATGAATCTACTTGAAATTTTTGAAGAAATTTTAGCTCTCGAATTTTATGAATGTGTAATAAATGAAACAGAAAGATATGCAAAAGTGTGGAAGCCAGAGTTTTCAGTTACAATTGATGAGTTGAAGAGTTTTGTTGTTTTTCCGATTTTCTCTGATTACCATACTTTACGTAATGAACATGATTACTGGTCAGAGGAAAATCTCATAGTACCGATAGTACAAAATGTAATGTCTCTAGATAAATATTTAGAAATTAAATCTGTAATCCATTTTGCCAACGATAATTACGCAGCAAAGCAAAAATCGGACCGGACATTCAAAATAAGAAAATTAATCACACATATAAACCACAGTTTTCAAAAATTTGAAATGTTCAGTAGAATTATATCTGTTCATGAAATGATGATTTGATATTATTGTCATCATTTTTTCAAACAATTTCTTAAAGGCAAACCTATATAGTTTTGCTATAAATCATGAGCCATGTGTGGAGTAAAGGGCTACTGTTATAATTTTGACTTACACTGCGGTGTGGAGAATTTGGACAATACTCCTGAAATTTCGAATGAACCGCTTGGAACATGAACGGTGAAAAAAGTATAAAAGACATCCGAAGACGGAACTACTTTCTTTCTTTCATACGCCCTCGCTTGGCGACAAATTTCTCTCCAATCCACGGTACCATATTACTATCTAAATTTTTTGTTTACATTTCGAACTTTAAGCCTAAAATAGGTCCAAAAACGTGGCTTTTGCACTTTGAACATACAATTTAAGCTAAAAATCCTAAACAAAAACAAAAAATTTAGACAGCAAAAATGTAAAGTTTCTAACCTAAAATATTTGACAATAATTCATGTACACAGCAATATGTTTTAACTTGAAAAAACATCAGAATTGCACAATTTATGCAGCAAAGAAATCTACGAACTATGCAAACCTCACTTTAATAAATTAACATAACAACAATAAATTTCAAGAATACTATGTGCACAGCGTTCTGTTTAAACTTTAAAAAACATCTACGAAATGAACAATCTAGGCATTGCACGCTAATCAACAAAATAACACTAAAATAACTAAAATAAATTTCAAACAATTCAAAAAAACAACAATAACGACAGAAATTCATATTCTACAAAATATGAACAAGAATAAAATAAAATGCACTTACCATGAATGAATTCTTCTTCGAACAGCGAAAACACCAATTTCAAACATCACCAAAACAATTTCACCACAAATTTGTTAAAAGTATTTTCTCTCATTTCAGAATGACGATGGGAAAATATATAAACCACCAAATAAAACACAAAATCGCATTTCCGATTATAAGTAGGCAACGTAGCTTTAACATGCCGCCACATAATCTCTATCGTATTTATATGACAGTCAGACTTACTATCTACAAAATTGATACTATCTTTCACAAATAAATGTTTAAAACCTTCTTCTCCTAAATATTTGTAAATTTCCAGCTACCCGAAAAAATAGTTGGGTACTTTTCCGTTCCTTATCAGATTGATTGTTTCTTAATACTGCCATAAAATTACATAGAAATTTTACCAGATAGCTCAATTTTATGCCCTATGGCTATTTGTACCGTCAAAACGGAAAATTACCATTTTTATATAAGGAGCATGAATAATAATATATAACAAATATCCTAAATGCATCATTTTTAGATTTTGTGTGATAATAAATGAGTTCTTTGATAAGGTCATCCATAAAAGTAAAAATTATGTGCACATTGAAATGATCATTTTGATATCTGAAGCAAATTAAGGATTTCTTAATTCTGGCAAAATTTGTATGTGAAAAACAAAAATAGGACTTGGGGTCACGTGATATGAACCGGCAAATCAGGATCTTGAACCATGAAAGCATAGTAAATTCTCAAATTAATGTCTTTTTACAAATTTATTGCCTTTATTTATTGGCTTTTTATTAAATTTTAAACGATACTACAGTGTTTATGCCTTCAAAATAAAAAATTCTTGAACAAACATTTGTTATTATTTTTTATGTGTATACTGTATCGCGTCGCCAATAAAGTCTGCTTGGCAAGATTTGCGCCGGCGAAACGAAAAATTACCAATAGTTGTACCAGGCACATGACTAAAATTTTGCCAACACATCATAAATTGCTTAATTATCACACACCTCATGAAATAACTAGCAAATCCAAGTTTCCACCTAAAAAGGGTTGCCACAGAAACCAACATCGCCCCCAAAACTACCGGAGAACACGCAATTGCGCCAAATACCAGCGCACAACACATATCGCCACATTTGGCGACCTGAAGGCGCATATAAGAGTAGTACCTCGAAGACATATATTGCAGTTACGTACCTCAAACTGGGAACAAATTTTAAAAAAAAGCGTTAGAAGACAATTGGCGACGTCCTCAAGACCAAAGTGACAGGCTCTGTACGTTTAGATTTTAAAAAAAAATTTAAAAACATGTTATAGATAAAAGACAAAAGCAAAGACACCAATTTCAAAAAAGTAAAGGAAGTTCTATTACGTTTTGTACAAAATGCGATGTAACACTGTGCGAAATGTTTTCCGCTATATCACACTTAAGTATTGCAAATTTGCTCAGTAAAAATATAACTAAGGAAGTTTTAGATTAGTAAAATAAGATTATTTTTTATTTTTTTTCTTCTTTTCTTTTAATGCTTTCTAGTTGGTTTTAATTTCACAAAAGAATTCATATTTTTTTAAGCAAACTCGTAATTTCTTTAAACACAAGATCAGAGGACAGTTACTTGTTCTTTTATTACTAGAAGTGCCCAGTGATCTATTTATAGATCACCTATTATCTGAACTGTTAATTAAGGTAATTGAATAAAACATCCTAATTACTTTATTTATGATATATGAAATGTAATTTAAAAATATTTCTCAAAAGTTCTCATTTAAAAATAATTTGGGCATTAGCAGGTTAACAGAAAAGTACTGAAAAAATTTCTACATTTTTTATATAAAAACTTACCAACAGAGCATTTGTCACAAATCACAATTTCATCAGGGGGTTGTGATGAGCCACTATCACAAACAGTACATGCAATTTCTCCCTCTGGTGGTGGACCTTTGATGACATTTACAGAACATTTTAAATAACATATTTACTTTTAAATAACAAGGTATAACATAAAAATATACTACATACCTATTCTAGTAGAAAAATTGTGACTACTACTAAATTCTGAAATTCATTATGTTAATTATAAAATTCATTATTATTCGATAGCATTTTAAGTCCTTATAATAATACCAAAAGCATTAAAAGATTAAGAATAAATTTTCAGCTTTAATGCCCATTTCTTACTTAATAAATTCACTCCGTAAATGAACAAAATTAAATATTGAAAAAAAAAAAAACTTTATATTGAAAACAAACTCAATCTGCATTCTCAATGAGAATGAAAAAATTTGAGCAATCTAAAATGCTTACAATAAATCTTCTCGAGAAAATTGCATCTTATTCTAGACCGGATCTAATTTGATCTTCCGATCTAATTCTAATTTTATATATTAAAGAGAGAAGACAGAGACACATGATAAATAAAAGTTCAATTTTAAATTCATAATTAATAAAGCGATAAATACACATATTAGATAAATTTCAAAACAATAAAATTCATGAAAAATATTATTTTATCCTTATACTGTTACAAATATACACTGTTCCAGAAAAATAAAAGGCATATAAAAAATTGATTAAAATTTTAGTTCATGATAACTGGGAATTTGGCAAAACTTATTTGTATATATCATTAACCTTTTAACTGTCATGCCCGAGTAGCACTGATGTTCAAAAATGTCACGCCCGAGTATAACTCAGGGTAATTTTTTTTTGAGTGCCTCGTATTGTTATACCTGAATATATATCGGGAGACGTTTATTTCAGCTTCATCTCTCTGTCAAACCCGACTACATCTCGGGAAAAGTTAATGTGTGCTCAATTCAATAGATGACAACACTTTACTGAAGATTTTAAAGGTTAGAGGTTATACGCTCTTTGGTTCAAAGTGCACGGGATCTTTTTGTTGTAAAATGGCATCCAGTTCTTTGAAAAGTTATGTAGATGATTTATATTCCTCAATCAAAGATGAAGGATGAGTGTTTGATGAGCAGTTTTCATAATACTTCCATGGTCAGCTTCTAAAATAAAAAAATGGAGATATACTCAAGCCTAAGATTGTTTCTGACTACAGTCTAACTACGGGTGGTGTAGATCGCTGTGATTAGGAAATATCCTTTCATCCAACAATCCGAAAACGTCATAAAAAATATTATAAAAAGATATTTTTACATTTACTAGACAAGGTACTCTGGAACTCATATTTGCTCTATAAAAATGTAGTTGGGAAACGTATTACATTTTTAGAATTTCGAATGCAAGTTGTAGAAGAGCTTTTGCATAAATATGATGATGCAGCTTCTGGACAAAAGAATGTTGGCAGGCCACCTACAATAGATAACCCTGTCCGTCTTACTGAACGACATTTTATATCCCATATTCCTCCTACTCCTGCGAAACGTGAGCCTACAAGACAGTGCAAAGTGTTGTTCGAAAAAGGATAAAAATGGAAAAAAGATAAGGAAGGAAACACGATTCTGGTGTAGTGATTGTGGAGTTGGTTTATGCTTGGAAAAGTGTTTCCAGTTGTACCACACAAGACTGAATTACTAAACTACTAATAGGTATTCACTTTTATTTATTTAGAAAATAATTAATTTTTTTCATTTTTAGAAAATAATGCTCCACTAGAAGCGAACTTTACAACTGCCATGTTGAGTGGCAGCAGCCTCAAGCAAATATGCAGTGGCTACAAAACTTTAAAAATTTTACCCATGTACTTCAAATATCAATTTTTAACTACTTAAGTATATTTTATTTTGTACTAAACATTTGATTTTTGCAATAAAAAATGTGACAATTTGTGTACCCAAATCATCAAAATAACTTGACAGTTAAAGGGTTAAATCAAAATATATTATCAGAAATAATCCTTTACCACCTAGTAATATAAAAAGTATTTCAAAATATTTATAGTGTTTCCAAATATATCTAAAATTTACCAAATCTGCACTGGCACTAAACATAAAGAACACCTTTTTAGTTAAACTGGAAGAAAACAAACTTAGACTGACACAGATTTTTTTAGATAATACTCTTTGATTTTGAGAATGGTCAAACATAAATCCATCTTCATCAACAACAATAAAAATTTTTTGTAGAGGTGTGGAGAAGCAACAATAAAGAAAATTATCAACGGGCAAAGCAAAGAAAAAATGAGCATCTGTTGAAAACACAGAAATAAATCATGAAAAATCTAATACATTAGATTTTAGAAGTACTGGATTGGTATCAATATCATTAACTAGAAATATATTTTAATGTGAAATGCTTCAGAGAAATTCAGGTCATCAAATGAAGAAAATTTTTGGATAAATTGTGGTTAAGTGCCTAAATAACCTGTCAAAGATTTGTTTATGTCTCCTTTTTGAACAAAGAAAAAAATTTTACATTAAAGAATATAAATTCTATGTTCTACAGAAAAAATAAATCTTTCGTAACTAACTATAGCTGGCCATTTAAACAAAACTCTGTGTTTAGTTTAATATACTTTTAAGTTCTACAAATATAGTATAAACACCAAGATCCCGATTTGACGGATTTTTCCAGATATTAGATTAATCAGTTTAGATCTAGTAAGATGTCAAGTAGAAATTATGCAGTTAAAAATACCAAATAGTGGTTATGAAATAATGAAGCTTTATAACTTTAAGAGAATAAAAATTTGAAAAAAAAAAAAAAAAACTCAAAATTTGTTTTATAACCAAAACTACCATAAACAAAAGACTCACTTGGCCTTTTTAATTAGTTTTAATTAACAAAACACAATTAAGATAAAACATTACAATTAAGGGTGTTATAATTACACTTTCAAGTTACAAAGTAAATCTCGGGGGACACCATGCTCAGTCCATGATTCCCGTACATCGACTGACTGCTAGAGTTTTTGTTGGCCGGTGTTTTTGTCCCGGTGGCCGCTAGGTGGCGCTCGTTAAGCCATGGGGTTACATGCCCTCTGGCTCATACGATGTCTCGCCGAAGCGCCAGAAATATGTTTCTTTGGTCTGCCTCGTCTCCGAAGAGGTGCTACAGTCCCACTATCTCTTGAAACAGGCAGTTCATAAGCACGTAAGGCTGAGCTGTGATAAGGACTTCATCTGGCTTAGCTGGATCAGCAATATCATACATAGTGGGTGAATGATTTTTTACCGCTAAATAAGGTCCTTCATGTTTAGGCATGAATTTTTGGCACTTTCTATTCTGTGATGTTCTACAAATAGGATGTAACGTCACCCATACTTTATCACCTAGTTCATAAGAAACCTTTTGACATTGACGATCATAATATATATTTTTTTTGTCTTGCTTCTATTCGACGTGGTCTTTAATCTCTGCAGTTAAACGGGCAAATCGTTTGAGATATGGGGTTATCTCAGCCACGAAGTTATCATTATCAATTAATGTTCTTAGTTCGTAGGTAACATCATCTGTTGTGCTTAATTCTCTGCCAAACTGCAAGAGAAACCTGCATTGTGATTAGTGGTTTCACATTTGGTAGTGTTCATGGAAAAACGAATTAGTGGCAGTTTTTCTTCCCAGGAATTCTGTTCATCTCCGACCAGTATGGCAAGTCGAGGTTTTAAATTCCTATTCTTACATTCTGATGGATTTGCTTGGGGATGATACACAGGAATAAGGTCTTACTTAATTTCGAGAAACTTGCAAATTTGTTGCATAACGGCACTTAAGTGTCCAGCCGTTGGAGAGTCATGGTGCTCTTGTAGCATTCTTTCTCTTTCCTGGATAGGGACTATGAGTTGGGCTTCTGTTTCTACTTCTGGTGAGTAACGATACAGAACACCCTGATTAATAAGATAATCTCCGCTAGTCCAGTTTGCGAAGTTTTTATCTTTTCAAGTGCTTTCGAAGCAGTCAATTATTTTTTTAGTTCTTCGTTTTTCAACTGTTCTCGAATTTCTTTGGACTTTCTTACTGGAAAATCGGCTGATATTGCAAATAGGTCACAAGGAACATCTTCATTTACATTCGAGGGTCTAGACAACATGTCTGCTAGCATATTAGCTTTACCAGACATATATTCAATTTTCGGATTATAGGACTGAATCTGAAGAGCCCATTTTGCCAAACGACATGATGGTGACTTTATGCTTATAAGCCATTTTAATGGTTGGTGGTCAGATGCTATAATTATTTCTTGGTTTTCGACGTAACCTCAAAATTTCTCCAGAGCTCAAACTACTGCAAGTGCTTCACATTCAGTAGTGGAGTAATTTTGTTCTTCCGGCATAAGCAAACGACTGGCATACTCAATAACATGTTCTTCTGGGCCTTCTCCTTGAATAAGGACTGTTCCTAGAGCATAACTGCTAGCATCTGTGCGGATATGAAACTGCTTTGATCCATCTAGTTGTTTTAACACAGGGGGTGTTATTAATCTTCTCTTCAATTTTTCAAAAGCTTCCTGCTGTTCAGGACCCCAAAACCATTGTACCTTTTGGTAAGATTACTAAGTGGTCTTGCAAAGGTCGCAAAGTTTGGAACATATCTTCTGAACCATGAGCAAGTTTTCAGGAAGGACTGAACTTCTTTTACATTGGTTGGCACAGGGATTCTCTGGATACAGGATACTTTTTCAGGGTCCACTTCAATTCCATTCCTGGTTATCCAGTGACCTAAATATTTAACTCGGTCACATGCAAAATGACATTTTTCTCTGTTAGCCTGACAAAGAAAGTCTCTCGAAAACAGTTTGTAAATCTCTTACATGTTGATCAAAAGTCCCTGATAAAATAATGACGTCATCTAAATAAGACAAAGCAAATATATCCTTTAGGCCTGCTTTAAATTTGTCAATCAGGCGCTGAAAAGTTGCGGGTGCATTTCGTAATCCGAAAGGCATGCGCAAATATTTATATGTCCCAAATGAGCAAATGAAAGCTGTTTCATCTTGATCAGCTTCATGTATTTTGACCTGATGATACCCT